TCTCCTCCTCCTCCTCCTCCTCCTCCGCTTCTTGTGTCCTGGCTGCCCGACTCCTGTCGTGCCCATCTGGGAGCCCATGCTTCCGCACATCGGGCATCGGGGGAAGGCTACGTTCTCCCAGGGGCAGGTGGAGGAGCCAGTGGCAGGGCTGGGCGCGGAGGCAGCGCCGTCTCAGCGCCCGCCGAAAGGCATCGGCACCACCTGCTGCAGGTGGGGGGTCACCGACGGGGGCGGCACGGCGGGCGAGCTGAGGAGGCTCTTGATCCTCTGGACCTCGTCCGACGCGTCCTCTCGGCGGCGCGCAGGCGGCGCCGAGATCCGGGCGTTGCCGTTGTTGTCATGCCGGGCGTGCGCGCCGCGTTTCGGGCCCGGGCACGATCACGGACCGACCCGGCTCGCAGACTGCCGCGGAGAGAAGGGGTCTTGGGCTCTGGTCGTGACTTGTCGCGCGATGTTGCATGTCTGTCGCGATGCCAGATCTCAGGGGAGGGAGAAGCGGCGCGAGGGCGGCGGCCTCCTCAGAAGCAGGCGGGCGCTTCTCAGAAGCCCTCCCAACTGTTGTTAGAGGCACCCTGCTGTCTTAAAGGCCGCCCCCCTCGCGCCGTCGCCTTCTGCGCGCCGCCGGTCCTGCTCGACGCGCGACTCATTGAAGGCATGCTGCGTCGTCGCCTGGATGGCCTGCTGCTGGAGTTCGTTCATCAGCTGGGTGATCGCCTTCTCCCGATCGGCGAAGCCCGACATCAAGTCCTTACAGCGGTCCAGCTCGGCCCGCATGGCCATCACCTGCTCGTAGAGTGCGTTGACCTCGCCGGAATGTTCGGTAGCGAGCTGGGTCACCATTTCCTCACAGAGCTGCGTGCCGATATCGTAGAAGGTGGCGCCACCTGGTGATGACGACGATCATTAAACAAAAAGATACTCCCAATTCAGCTCACATTTCTGATGTTGGCAGGGTTGGACCAGGGTGTCCTGAGGCTCCAAGTGTATATTGGCTGTTTTTAGATGGCGTTTCTATGGTATCCCAACTGTTGCTGTACTCTGTGCCGATGGTGCCCCGACGTCGCCCTGATGAATTCACATCGTGGTCCAGCTGTTTCCCGACTGATCTCCGCTATGCATCGCTTATGCCCAGATCGTGTCTCGATGGTGTCCCGATTGGTTCGGTCATTGCACTGATCGGCGCAGCTGAAGCTGAAGCGAAAGCCGAGGCTGAAGCTCAAGCGGCGAAGCGTAAGGCAGGGCCAAAGCGTGAACCCCAAACAGAGACGAGACGGTGCTGTGCCGAGCAAGAGGGCACCGGTGGGAACGAAACGATGCGAGGGCTCTCTGCACTCCCTCGAGCTGGCATGCGTGCCCAGATCTCCGGCGACACGACTCCCCCCGGTCCTACCCACAACGCGCGCGCAGTCAACCTCTGCCCGCGCTCGCGCTCCAGAGCCGAGCAGACTCCAGACCCCAGCCGGGCCGGCGCTGGCCGGGCCCACCTTCGGCACAGGGCGGGCGTGCTGCCTGGAAGGAGGCCCCTGCAGGCCCGCGGTCGGGCCCCCAGGCGATCAGAGATGTCGACCAAGGGCGCGCAGAGCTGGCCCTGGGACACACACACACACACACACGCACACACGCACGCACACACGCACACACGCACACACACACACACACACACGCACACACACACGCGCACACACACGCACACACACACACACACACGCACGCGCGCACACACATACAAAGATATAGACACACATAAATACACACAAAGCCAAGGATTCCGTATACTTTTCCATGTATGTTCTGGATATTCGTCCCCCCCCACTTCCCACATTTTCCCATATCTCCTGGGAATCGACGATTATTTGTGTGTTTGTTGCCCTCCTGATTCTGGACCCGCGCATTCGAAAACATATCTGGAGGAAGAAAAAATAACTTGGGCATAAACTTTCGGAGCTCCGCGCGGGAGGCTCGGGCGGGTGGCAATGGGGGTGACCTACATGGGGGGGTGAAGACAGGGGTCCTAAAGAGGCCCGGGCCCCGTTTGGAGCCATCAGGGGACCTCAAGGGGCCCTCAAGGGGCCCATTAGAGCCCTGTTCTTCTTCAAGCCCCTCCTGTTAAGTCCCCCCCACTGCCACCCGCCCGCGAGGCCTGCCCCCCGTTCCCCCTCGGGACCCCAGATCGCCGCCGGGGGGTCCGCGGACGGGAGCCTCGCCGGCCTCGCCCTGCAGAGGCGCCAAGGGCAGCGTCGAGGGGAAGAGAGGAGGAGGAGGAGGAGGAGGAGGAGGAGGAGGAGGAGGAGGACGAGGAGGAGGAGAGAAGAAGGAGGGGGAGGAGGGGGAGGAGGGGAGGAGGAGGAGGAGGAGGAGGAGGAGGAGGAGGAGGAGGAGGAGGAGGAGGAGACGGAGGGGGAGGAGGGGAGGAGGGGGAGGAGGAAAAGGGGGAGGAAGGAGGAGGAGGAGGAGGAGGAGGAGAGGAGGAGGAGGAGGAGGAGAAGGAGGAGGAGGAGGAGGAGGGGGAGGAGGGGGAGGAGGGGGAGGAGGAAGGAGAAGGAGGAGCGTCTGACCCAACAAGCACCATCAAACGTAGCGGCCGCAAGCAGGCAACCACACCAGCAGGAAGCACCGAGCCTGGCTAAGCCCAACATCGAGACACTATCCGACCAACGATCCGACCTACTAAAGACACAGCAACTGACGTACACGCAAAACCTGGTGCAACCGACACAGCCAGAAGAGTGCAATCAGACCAAGGAGCCACCAAGACGCAATAGGTGGACACCAATGGCATCGACCAAATCGACAGCGGAGCTCATTCATCAATGTCAGCGACATCGACCAGACCACGATGGGCGTTCGGGCCAAGGACGACGCCAACAACCAGACCCAGCCAACGGAAAGCCTCACAGGCGAAACCGACATGTGTACACTTACGACTGCAACCGATCACCAGCCGACGGCGATCATACCAGCTAAGGGCAAGCACGAAACTAACCAGACCCACAGCCAGGGCACATATAAGGATACCAACCTTGAGAACGCCTCCGCCCCCTGGCCACCTTGGGAAGTCGAATGCAAACAATACCGCCATGCCCACCAGTCCGACGCTCCTACGGCAAATCAGGAAACTCCCCCCTGATTGCCAACGACCACGAAGCTTACGCCTCCCGACGGGACCGGCCTTACACTGGCCCCTCAGCTCGCCTACCTCCACATGGTGCACGTCATATCCAATTTTGCTCCACACAGAGTCCTACGCCAGCTGCTACCTCCCGACACCCTGTCTCGGCACTATCCTTCTACCCAACAGCACGCACTCACCGACACGATCGGCAGCAGCACAGCTGGACGTACCATCTCCAGACCCACATCCAGCGGCAGCAGCAAGCGACTCCTCAGGCCCGACCAGCGACGACTACGCCAGGAACATATGCTATACTGTGGGTCCCCGAGGGGCTTTCTCACCCACACAGCAATGCTAAATCATCCGCCGTGTCACGCAAAGCCTCGGCAGACGTCAACGGCAAACAGCACAAGCTATGCTGTACGTGGGTCCCCTAGGGGCAGTCTCACCCACGAGCTATGCTGCCGCAGCTGGCGGTGTGCTGAGAGACAGCCTCGCCAACCTCCCGGCTTCCTTCTCGTGCCCGTTCCCCCTGCCGTACCACGCTAACCTTCTCAAGACCCGCTCTTGTGGCGGAAGGATGGTCGGGAGCGTCCAAAAGGGGGTGTCCAAGAGGGGGGGTGCACATCATGGCCGGCGGCATGTGCGCGGCCCAGCGGGGGGGCCGGGAACGTAATGAAATAAGAAGAGGCGCCCTGAAATCTGGGGAAATATCATGGCCCCCGCCATGATATCCACCCCCCCCTAGTCATCACCCCCCTCTTTTCCGCCCCCGAGATGGGTGGGGCGATACACTGGCGGGGGGATAGGCGGGAACTCACCACGGGCCGCCCTGGCAGCCGGGCCCGGGCGGCCGTGGCGGGTGGCGGCGCGCCACCCTTGCCCCAGCAGTGCCACAGCTGCGATGCTGGCAGCGACAGGCGCTACCCTCACCCGTGCAGCTCTGATGCGCACCTGCAAATGCAGGGCGGGGGGTGGGTTTAGCTACGTTTGAAAATGGGAGGATAAGACCACGTCCATCGCGCCACCGCCACGGAAGGCACAAACCTCCCCCACGCACGGTGGAAATCCCCCCAGCGGCCCCCACCTCCACTATCTGGGTACCCTACTTCTGCTCTGCAGGGGAGGGTCCGAGTTGCGGGGATGAGGGACGCTTCGGGGGATTTCCTCTGTGCAGGGGGAGAGGCCCTTATGACTTCCCCGTTGGCGAGAGCGGCCGGCCACTAGGGCGAGCGTGGCTACCTGCCACTTGCTTGAAGGCACAAACCTCCACCAAGCTCGGTGGAGACCCCCTAGGCGGCCCGCCCAGAGGCACAGGCACGTGCTGGGAACCCTGCGCCTGTTCGCAGGGGATCCCGACGTTTGCCTCGGGGACGCCTGCGGGGGGGTCCTATGAGCAGGTGGAAAAGGCACTTGGGCCTTCCCACAGGCCGTGTGTGGGCAAGGCCGCCGCCGCCCACTGTCAGCGGCACGCTCGCCCATAAACCTCTACAACTTTCAACCGCCCGGGCCACGTATTCTGCGAGGTGTCCTCCCTCCTTCCTCCACTCAGGGCCTGTCGAACCTGCAACCGCATGCACCGACGGCCTCTGGCATTGGCCAGTGCTGCCGCGGACGGCAGCGCTGCCCTCAACCTACCTCTTTGCTGGCAATTTTCAACTTCCATTGCCCACCTTGACTCTCGCCCCGCACTCTTTCCCACGCCCTGCCCCTGCAGGGCCATCCAGCCACCCGTGCGGACGACGTCCCAGCTGGCTTGTGGGTGCGTGCTCAACGACCCCCCACCCTGTCCTACAGGGCACCTCTACAGAGGAGACCCTAGGCACAATCCAGAGAGCTGGCCCAACAGGGCCAGGCAACTCGAAGAAGGGGGGACCCAGCTCAGCCACAAGAAAAGGGCCCAAGGGACCAGCCAGCATTTTGAAACTGCCGCATGCCACAACTACCTCCACTCCACTTCTCCTTCCCGTGGATGGGTGATGAGGTAATGAGGTTATGATCATATCTTCTTCCGCACTCTTCATCCATGTCGGTTCCACTTTACCGTTGTCCTACTTGTTATCTTATACTCACCCAGGGCTGGCTGTTGGCCAGCCATGGGGGATGCCCAGCCCTGGGGGAAGCGACAGCGCTCGAAGAACACCAATGCCGACAGGAATCAGGAATCAGGAGATGCAGGAGGAGGCAGGAGGAGGAGGAGGAGGAGGATGAAGAGGAGGAGGAGGAAGAGGAGGAGGCATGAGGAGGAGGAGAAGGAGGAGGAGGAGGAGGGGAAGGGAGGAGGAGGAGGAGGAAGGAGGAGGAGGAGGAAGAAGAAGAAGAAGAGGAGGAGGAGGAGGAGGAGAATGAGAAGGAGGAGGAAAAAAAGAGAAGGGGAGGAAGGAAGGAGAAGAAGGAAGGGAACGAAGGAGGAGGAGAGGAGGAGGAGGAGGAGGAGGAGGAGGAGGAGGGAGGAGGAGTGCACGTCGCCTGGGGCGGCAGTCCAGGAGGAGGAGAAGGAGGAGGAGGAGGAGGAAGAAGAGGAGGAGGAGTAAGAGGAGGAGGAGGAGGAGGAGGAGGAGGAGGAGGAGGGAGAGGCAGGTGAGTCCAGAATCGAATCGACGAGCCGGATCGGCGATCGAAATGAATCGGGTCGATTGAAATCGGCAGGTTAGTCAGGCCTCCATAGAGAAACCGACATCCAGGTTTGAGTCCGATGTCGAATCGACTCGGGACCGATCGAAATCGA